CACAAAGTAATGTGGGGATGCCTCCAAATGGCTGGGTATTGCCTCGGATGTCTTGTAAAGTTTGATCTACGGCCTCGATTGCTGCTTTGTGGATCATAGGCGCTTCGTCAACGATGAGTGCGGAACAGTTAACAATGACCTTTGCAAGAGTTGAGCCTGTTTTGGTGGCACATGTAGGCATGTCATTGTAGGGAATTTTGAATGTGGTATGAAGCGTCCGTCCTCCAGTAATAATCGTCGCTGCAATTGCACTTGATGCTGTAGCAATGGCAATTTTCTTTTTTGAGCAAATACGTGCGAGGATTAATTGTTGAAACAAGCGTCTACCTTGTAGGATGTGATTTGATTTGCGGCACATGATGTGATACGAATAATATTGCATTTGAGTAACTTTCTTTCCTTGAGCAGATTTTATGTAGATATTGTAGCCATGGGTGGCATGAGGAAAGAGCAGTGGGTACTGTAATGGATCGTAAGCATGATGAAGTTCTGATATGTGTTTCAGTGTACCATCACGTTGGTGTATGACTATCCCTGCAGGCGGTGGGCTCATTGGGCATGAGAATTGCAACTTCATTGGCTACTGGTATGTTGAATCGTCGCGCATGTTCATTGCTTGGTCGTTTATCCTCATGTATCACAACAGTTAAATCAGGAGCATTTGTGTTGTGCAAGATATCTGCAGCTGTTTTGAAAGTGTTCACATAATGATTGTGTTCATGGAGCATGTCTCGTAGATTTGCAACTATTTCAGGTTTCAGCTGATATGCAATTGATAGCCTTTTGTTCACTTCATCTACTTTGTTGTCAATGAAGTAAATTTGAAGGAACTAAGGTGTTTGGTTTGGTTCAGGGTACATGGAACCAATGTTATGGAAAACCTGCCCTTGCACTGTAAATGTAGGGTTCCAGTCTGATAGTTGCCTTGTTGTGCAGGCAAAGCTGGTCATTTGGAATGCACAGTTGTATGTCCTGATATTGCAGAGAAAATGATCATCCTCATTCAGTAGCGATGAAAGATAAGGTGGTGGCTGTGGATAACATGGGAGCTTAATTTTCCCGTTGCAGCAGCAGAATCCAAGAGGTTCATTGGTGAATGTGACAGCTTGACAGTGCTGGCAGATCTTGTTCATAAGTCCTATACAGGTTTGTGGAGTAAAATGTTCTTCGACATAACCATATGCTTCGGGGTGTTGTGCCTGTTCATGTGCGACGTCAACACTTGGTCGTTATGTTTTAGCTGTCATGTGTGCTGCTGTCCGGGTAGTCTTGTTGAGGGATGTTTTGCGCTTCACCATGGCTGTAGGTAGGCAAGAGAAAAGTAAAAGGTGGTTATTGTAAACAAACAATGTTTATTTTGCATCAGAAGTGTACATCTACAGAATGTGGATATATTGACATGAATGAGAATGAGCTGTGAGGAGTATTGAAATCCCCGTGGAGACTTAAGCCATAAAATATAAACAAATTCGGTTGACGGTTATCCGACAGACCCAGTGGCGACTCAAATTTTGTTATTAGCATTGTTGTAAAAAAATATGAAATTGATTTATTTTAAACCAAGATGATAAATAAAGTCGAGAAATAGAAATTGGTCTTCGTAAACAATATTTTTCTATCATTTTTCCATCAAAATATGTATTAGGGTTTAAAGTTCTAGAAAATGAACACATTGAATGATAGTTTTGGTGTTTTTAGTCCAGGAGCACGAACCTTGACATTTTCGTTTCGTTCAACCATCACTACATCTAAGGTTTGACTTGACAGGATGGTCGAATAGACCCCCTAGAACACCCCCAGGTAGTATGTAGTCTCAAATTGCGGTATCGGTTTTGTGCTAA